GGCCCCCCCGCAAGGCTGGCCTCTGAAAGCCGCAGGCGCCTGGGGACGCCCGTCAAGGCGCAGCCGCCGGGCTCCGAGGGCGCTGGGTGACGCCTGGTCCGCGGCAGAAGGGTCAGAACGCAGAACCCGTTCTCCTTCTTGCTGGGCTTGGCGGGGGACGGTCGGGCACCCCACACCCGTCAGCGTGCCCTGTGCCGCGCCCCGCCGGCTTTGGGAGAGGAAGAGCCAGGCCCGGGTCTTAGTTGCCATGGAAGCCCCAGGAGCGCGGCCCCCGCGGGGCGTGTCCGCCGGAGACAGAGTGCGTGGCCCGGGGACAGTGTAGTGTGCCCGGGGACGGCCTGCACGGGGGCAGGGTACGCGGAAGACGGTGTGCGCATGAGGTAGTACCCTGGGGGACGACGTGCTGGGGACCAGTGTGTACGGGGACAGAGTGCACAGGGGGCAGTTTGCAGGGGCACACTGTTCGTGGGGGACAGTGTGCACAGCGAGTGGTGTGCGGGGACAGTGCGCACAGGGAGCAAGGCAGGGTGCACAGGGGACAGTGCGCACGGGGGACAGAGCACATGGGGGCCAGCGTGCGCGGGGCGCAGTCAAGCGTGAGACTCTGGCGACCTTCGGAGAGAGGTCCGGACGCGGTGTGCTCTTTTGATCTTCCCCGGCCGGCCTTGCTGAGGGCATGTTGTAGCTCTGTGGCCACTGCTGTGTCTCAGACATGGGCTTGAGGCTTTCCAAAGGCCCTCTTCTCAGGGGCCACTCCTTCCTCAGGGGGCAGTTTAAAGGGGCTGATCATTAAGTACTGAGATGTCCCCCAGGGACATCCTGAACTCTTCAAAACTGTGGAAGTTCAAGTCCCTCGAAAAGAAAAAACAAAGTACCCTCAGACTTATCATCAATAACAGCAAAGTCCAAATCCCCACTAAAAAGGATCTACCAAGCCAATGGCTGCACACACAGCTTTTGGTCCACGCCCGTGGTGTGCTCATCCTCGGGGATGTCAGGATCGTGCGGGGGTGTGGTATCCTCTCTACCCCTGCCTCACTCGCTTTCCTCTTGCCCCTGAAGCTTTTTCCAGATCAAAATGGACGTACCTACAGGGAGCGGAACCTGCCTGATAGACTCAGAGGATGTCAGGGCGGCAGAGTCCAGTGACCGGGCCGCAGAGAAGGAGGTCGTCTGCCCCTGGGAGAGCCTGGCCGAGGGCAAGGCAGGCTGAGTGGGGGCCATGGGCCAGGAAGATGCTCGTGGCAGATGCCATGGGAGGGAGCTCACGAACCCAAGTGCATTGGGGTGACACCTGGGGGCTGGAGAGACACGATGGGGTGATCGTGGTCAAGAAGGCTCTGGTCCGTCCCCGGTGGCCAAGACCTTCTCTTCCTCCTGACCTTCCCTCCCCTGGACAGAAGAAAGGCATGTGGACCGGAAAACTTTCCTTGCTGCCTTAAAACCAATAAAAGGTTCCCTTTAAGAGTTTCTTGGGTTGGAATGTTAGTGTGTGTCTGGTGTCATTAGCTACCTGTGGGCTATCATTTAGGACTTGAGCTCGCATCTCCTTCCGTTTTCTGGACAAAGGGATGCTGAGTCACCCCCAAGAGCTCTCTCTGGGTCTCCGGAGGTTTGCACATGACGCTTTCCTCAGCTGAGCTCCCTAGGAGAGCCTCAGGCTGTGGCATCTCACGGGGATGGCGTGGGGTGGGCTGGGCGAAGCCACACCCCCAGAAGGCCAAGCGTGTTGTTCAGGCCCTCCAGGAAACAGACACCAAGACGGGATGTGATGGACCAGAGATTTGTTGGGGGAAGCCACTGGGGAAGGAAGGGCCACGGCTGGACGAACTTGGTGTTGGGGGTGGGGTCCAGACCGCGGTGCAGGCGTGACCTTTGGGGAAGGAGGGGTGGGCCAGCGGAGTCTCCGACGGCAGCACAGTTCTGAGAAAGTTGTGGCCGGGCCTCTGGGGTGGCCCTGAGTCCCAGCCACTGAGAAAGGGCCTCTGCCTCTCCTGGGAACGGCCAGGCCTTTGTGCTCCGCCTTGCAGGACCGTGGGCTGGAAGCTCCCATGAGAGCCTGGACGTGCTGCTGACTTGCAGCTTTGTCCTTGGCTTCTGCCAAAGCCCTGAAGTATTGTCCCCAAGGGTCCTGCTGGGATCATAACTGGATTGGACAGTGGATTGAAATTAAGGACGATGTGGTGAATACAATAGCTCTTAAAAGTTGCATGGAAAGTCCTCATGGGAGGAAAAAGTTAAGTGGTTTGCCAAACCACTCATTATGTTCCTCCTCTTTGACCCTCAAATTCATCAGAATTCAGTGAGTCGATGAGAGCCCCCGACTTGCCTTTGACCTCTGACAACTTATCGTGTTTAGCCCATAAAGGCCGGGGCTGGCTGCTGGATCATTTCTCTGTGCACATCTAAAAATGGACGTTGGATGGGTGTGTGGCTAAAACCTGGGCTTGATGATCCCCACAGGGAAACCACAGACACTTGCGTACTCAGAGAACCTCACTCATTTTAGATTCCACCAAACCTACCTCACCGGGCTCACAAAGGAGTCACTCATCACGGGCTAAGGAAAACTTTTCTCCCAGAAAGTAAGTAAAATAGCCTGGGTCTTTTTTGCACGGTGAGAGAGTTGATTAATTTGATGCCTTTATTTAAAAAGCTGGGCTAAATGAGACTAGAGGCAAAAGAATTCATACTCTTAGTCTGCTCCCAGTCAGGCTGTTGAAAACAAGAAGAATCACAGCTCTGAATTTGGACGCTAGTGTTACAGCCTGATCCGATTCTTATGCCCGCTGCCCAGCAAAACCAGGTCTGATGCAACCATCACAGTGGAGAAAGAGTGTAATATCACAAAGCAGCCCAGGCAGGAGAATGGCAGTTACTTTTCAAATCTGCCTCCCTGAGAATTTGGAGGCCGGAGTTTTTAAAGGAAATTGGCAGGAGGGGATTAGGGGCTGCTGATTGCCTGGCGATGTCACAGGGTGTCGAAACTGCCTTCGTGTCCCAGAGCCGGGTTCCAGGAGGGGCATCCCAGGACCAGTGGAGCCAGTTTCCTGGGTATGTGTTCTGGCTCAGGTAGGGCCTTGGGTCTGTCAGAGCACAAAATCCGAAAAGTATCTCAAACATCATTCTTAGGCTTCGCAACAGATGCCACCTATAGAGCAGGTCCTGTGACCACCAGCCACTACCCCGGACAGCGAGGCATACCAGAGGAGTTTAGGAGGAAGGCAGGGGGAGGCGGGGTCCTGGGAGTGGGAACCGCTCTGGTCCTCAGGCAGACTTAGGCTCTGGTCCTCACGCAGATTTAGGCCTGTGGTTCGAGGGAGAATATGTGTATCTACCTGCTGGGCAGCTTCTCCCCAGGGGTCAGGGCGGGAGGTAATCAATTGCCCCGTGTTGAACTTAAGGCAGACCCAGAAACAAGATACTAGTTCAACTGTAGCCACAGCTGCAGCTTGTCAGGGCTCGGGTCTCTTCTACAGCTTTTACCCCGTGGCCCAATATGAACTTTTTACGGGTGTTTTCCAGGGTGTTTATGGGGTTTCTCTCCTGAAGGGCTTCACTCCTTCCCCAGAGTCCTAAAGAGGAACCACACCCATATGGAAATTAAGATCCACACGGATCCAGCATTCATGACAGAAGGCTCCAGAACGCACTGGTTGGATTAGGTCAAGCCCGGGTTGAAGCAGAATAATAAGCTGCTCCCAGAAGGGAGGAAGCGGTTCCAGTGTAAAGGAGCTTCTGTCTCGGTCCCACAGTGGCCCAAGGGCAGAAGGGCAGAACAGGGCGAACGGGGTCCAGGGAAGAAAAGACATTGGGACCAAGGTATGTCTGTTTTTGTCCTCTTTCTCTGCCCCTTTCCTAGTCTCAGCTGTGATGATTCTCCATCTTGTCTGGATGTTAGAATCCACCGGGACATGTGGACGGTCCCAATGTGCAGGCCACGTGCCGTCCAATCAGTTCAGAATCTCTGGGGGCGGAGCAACAGCATCCGGGGTTTTTAGATCCTTTCCCGGGTCACTTCTGGGTCCAGACGAGGTTGAGGACCACAGCTCTGAGGCAGTAATTGGACCTGGCCCACCACCCCCAAGCCCACGTCCCTGCCCAGAGAGATCACAGGAAAAGAGGAGGTGGTGGGAAGGCAGCTTCTTCCTCTTAAGTTCACAGCCACAGCCCATTGGCCTGCCCTTGGTCGCCTGGCCATGCCTAGCTGCAAAGAAGCCTGGGAAATGGCCTCCAGCGAGGCCAGCCTGTGAGTAGCTAGACTTCTGGAGGTTTGAACCCCAGGAAGGGAGATGGGGAGGGGGGATATCGGGGGGCCACTTGGCCTCTCCCACCGTGGCGCTAATGTGCAGTCCAGGAGGTTCACGGAGGAGACGGGGAGACTACGGGAGGGGGCCCAAGAGGAGACAAGAGTACTTGAGTGGCTTTTGTTGTTGTTTTGCTTTGTTTTGAGAGAGGTCATGTTACTCTGTCGCCCAGGCTGGCGAGCAGTGATGTAATCATGGCTCACCGCAGCCTTGACTTCCTAGGTTCAAACGATCCTCCTGTCTCAGTCTCCTGGGACAACAGGTGCATGCCACCATGCCAGGCTAACTTTCCGATTTATTTTGTAGAGATGAGGTCTTGCCACATTGCTCAGGCTGGCTTTTGAATTAACTTCTGGGCTCAAGCAAGGCTCCCTTCTCGGCTTCCCAAAGTGCTGGGATTACAGGCGTGAGCCACTGTGCCGGTCTTGATTCATTTTCGTTTGACCAAATATTTGGTAAATGCCTAAAACATGCAGCTATGCACCATTCCACGGTTGGGTGGCTTTTCACGGACTCAGCCAAAATACCTGCTAGGTGTCAAACACCAAGGGAGGCGCGGGGAGCAAAGCGGACTCCATCATGGGGGTGCTTCCACCGCTCTGGAGCAAGCTGGGGAGGTTGGATCCACAGCTGCGGGTGGAGAACGGGTGGTGGGAGCCCTGTACAGCCCCTGTCCATCCTGGGACAGCTCTTTGTGTTCCGAAGTCTGTTTTCTCAGTGTCTGACCTCCCAGAGGTCTGTGTGAGGCCTATGTTCTTCTTTTGGTTTTTCTTCATTTGTGTAGATTTTCCTCCCCACTTTTTCCTTCCTCCCCCCCGTCTTCTTTAATTCTGTTGTTCAGGGGTGGAGGGGTTGCTTTTACTTCTGTTTCTTCAATCTCCTATTCTTCCTTATGTACATCCTCTGGCCTTGTTCAATTCTGGAGTTGGACTGTAGGTTGGGGGCAGTCCTTTTTGCGGTTTTGAGATTTAATTGAGGGGGGAGCTGTGATTCAAAGTCTGTCAGCAGATCCCAGTATCCACCTACAGGTGTAAGGATAATCTGGAACCCACTTCCCACTGCCTTGCAATCTGTCCATGCAGGGGGGTTATAGGTTTACTCCCTGAAAGCAAAATGAGATAAGAAAAGGGAAAAGAATGGAGCAGGGAGTGAGGGAAGAGGAAGGTGGAGAGAGGGAAGAGTAAGAGGGAAAACAGACAAACGTACCGACCAACACACAAAAAGAGACACAGAGACAGATACGAGTAAAAACAACAACAAACAAACCAACAACCATATGAAAAACTAAAACACACAGTCATACAGACATACAAGGTAACCAACCTCCTTGTTGGTGTACTATTCCCCTATACAAACACGAGAAAAAAATAAAATAGAATAGAATAAAGTCAGTAAACTAACAGAACCAAAGCAAGGATGAAAACGTTATTGATAACAGTAGGAACAGAGGGACAAGGGGGAAAAAAAGGGGAAGCCAGACAAAGAATTAAAAAAAAATTAAAACAGGAGAACCAAGCACACTCTGAGACTTTTCCTTTAAGTCCATGTCCTTTCAGCTCTGATTGGGACAGCTCTTTGATTTCCTCACCTGTACACTGGGGGTGACAACTGGACTTTCTTTTTTTTTTTCTCCTTGAGTCGGGATCTCACTCTGTTCACCAGGCTGGAGAGCAGTGGCATGGTCATGGCTCTCCACAGCTTTGATTTTTCTGGGCATAAGTGACCTTCCTGCGTCAGCCTTCTAGGTAGCTGGGACTGCAGGCAGGGGCCGCTACGCCAGACTAATTTTTAAATTTGGGAGTGTGGGGTGGGCACACCTCATCCACAAGGGTACCCGCATAATGAGCATTTGTATACTTGGCCCTGAGTTGTACCCCACATCTTTAACATAAAAAATTTAAAAACACTTTCTTTTTGTAAAGATGAGGTCTTGCTATATTGCTGAAGCTGGCCTTGAACTCCTGGGCTCAAGCAATCCTCCCGTCTCGGCCTCCCCAAGTACTGGGAGTACCGATGCGAGCTACCATGCCCAGCCCATTTGACCATCTTCACGGGGTTATTTGGATGCATGTAGAATGGAAGCATATGCATCTGCTCAGAACTGTATAGAGGTAAGAAGAAAACGACGTTGTTATTTCCTCGTCAGGCTTCCTTTAAACCCGT